ACCCCCAAACTCTCACCCCGCAGAGCCGGGGGGTCCTGCAGACCCCAAGTACCCTGCTCCTCATCCAGACAAAGCTTGGGAACCCCAGATTTGCATCCTTTGAACCCCCATGCACCCTGAGGGAAGGTGAGATGCAGCTGGAGCAGGCACAGCCCTGGGATGCTCATCCCAAAGCCCTGGATGCAGCAGGACAATCTCACCCTGGGATGCTCACCCCAAAGCCCTGGATGCAGCTGGACAATCCCACTCTGGGATGCTCATCTCAAACCCCTGGATGCAGCTGGAGCAGGCACAGCCCTGGGATGCTCATCCCAACCCCTGGATGCAGCAGGACAATCCCACCCTGGGATGCTCATCCCAAACCCCTGGATGCAGCAGGACAATCCCACCCTGGGATGCTCATCCCAAACCCCTGGATGCAGCAGGACAATCCCACCCTGGGATGCTCATCCCAACCCCTGGATGCAGCAGGACAATCCCACTCTGGGATGCTCATCCCAACCCCCTGGATGCAGCAGGACAATCCCATCCTGGGATGCTCATCCCAACCCCTGGATGCAGCAGGACAATCCCACCCTGGGATGCTCATCCCAAACCCCTGGATGCAGCAGGACAATCCCACCCTGGGATGCTCATCCCAACCCCTGGATGCAGCAGGACAATCTCACCCTGGGATGCTCATCCCAACCCCTGGATGCAGCAGGACAATCCCACCCTGGGATGCTCATCCCAACCCCTGGATGCAGCAGGACAGTGCCCAGCTCACCCCTTCCTGCAGATTCCTCTCTGTCTCCCCACCCTTCCTGGATGGTGCCACAGCCCCTGGCAGCCCCCACGCCCCCCAGGAGGGGACATTCCTGCCTTCAGCCCCGACCAGCAGCCACCAGCAGGGGCAGGACCAGCAGGCCTGTCCACAGCTCACACCTCATCCTCCCTCAGCAAGAAGAGCAGCATCAATTTTTACTGTCTCAGCCACTTTTTTTATACTTCTTTTATATATATTTTTTCATACAAACCCTTTTTCCAACTCCTCTGAATTATAGATGAAATTCTCAGCTTTATTGTCATGGTGATTTTAGCTCCTTTCCTCCCAGTACAGTGAGACCAGTCCATGGCCTGACGTCTCTGGGTCTTTGTTCTTCTTCCTCCTCTTCCTCCAGCCCTGGACAACCCTTGCTAGGGGGTCATCCAGCCCCTCAGCTGGGCACAGGGAGTGGCACAGCCCCAATTCCCTGTTGCCTGATGGTTCCCTGCCACAGGAACATCTCCCAGGGCTTCCCCAAGGTTCCTTTGGTGCCTTTTACCCTGGATGGAGGGACCTCAGGAGCCACTACTGGTCCCCTGTCACCCTGGCAGGTTTGCCAATGAAGGGCATGAATTATTTATAACCTCTTCCAATCAAATAAATGCTGAGGTGCTTGAGTTAATTTCCTGGATCCTGAAAATCCAAAGTGCAGACTTTTAATAAGGCAAATGAAGTGCTTCATGTGTGATGCTGCTTCAAGCTGGGTATCAACCCATCCACTGTGGGATGAATGGAAGGGGATGGGAAACAACCAGGTCCCCTGGAGTTCTGTGCTCCTTGGGGCTCCCCTGCCCACCCGGGTGGGATCACCCAGGGCACAGGCCTTCAAAATGAGGTCAAAAAGAGCAAACCCAAGTTCCAGCAGGTTTCTCCAGTGAGGAACATCAGGAAAGCACAGAGCAAGGCAGGACTTGCTGTGCCCTGGGACCTGTGGGTGCTCTGGGAGACACGGGGTGTGTGGAGGGCTGGGAGATGCTCCTGAGCCCACAGCACCTTATCCTTTCCCAGGGCTGTTCCTATGGGAACCAGGGATGATCCTGATCCATGTCTGGGCTGGTTCCCATCTCCAGACCCTGGGAAACTTGAGAAAAACCAGGAGCATCCAGCTTGGTTTAGCTGGAGTGCTGGGAACTCCTGACACCACAACATCATCCATCGATTGCTTAAGCGCGCACTATTATTAATTAGTGCTCATTATGGTGGTTATTTATTATTAATCAGTGTTAACACACTCCCCTCTCCTCACCCTCCTCCAGCCTGGCTCCTCGCTGCAAAACCCCTGCTCCTTCCAGCTTCCCCCCCCACTATTTCTCTTCATTAACCAAAGAAATGGAACCACTTTCTGGACTTCACTTAAAAAAAGACCCTCCGGGGTCTAACGAGGTTTGTTCCATGTCAGTCGGGCTAACGAGGGGCTCACTAATCACATCTCACAGCACGGGCTGGGTAAAGTGCCAGGAGGGTTTGTTGCTGGGATAAAATGCTCAGGGTTTCCCCTCCTGTCAGGAAAACCTGTCCCTGGAATGTTGAGGCTGGATAAGGAGGATGGAAAGGGTGGGAATAAAAAGAGCCCCTTGGCAGGGTTGGGAAAATCAAGTCGATGGCAGAGAGGGGAGGGAGAGATTAGAGCACAAAGCCCCAGACAAATGGAGAGGGCTTTAATCTGATTAGGGAGTTATTGTCATGATTGTGTTATGCTGGTTATAAATCATTTAGGAGCAGAGCTAATCAAAACAGAGATTTGTTCCGAGCTTGAAGGGTTGTTACCTCTGGGAAATGCCCCTGCCTCTCTCCCACGCTTCCCTCTGGGAACAGGGCAGAGCTGCATCCCAGGGTGAGGGGCAGGGAACGTGGGGAGAAGGCAGGGAGGGTCCCAGGGGAAGGCTGGGCTGGTAAGTTGGGGGGGAAGGGGGAAGGAAGAGGGGTATGGACATATCTGGGGTGGGGAAGATGGGAGATGAGGAAGGAACAGGCATCTCTGGGGTGGGAAAGATGGGAGATGAGGAAGGAACAGGCATCTCTGGGGTGGGAAAGATGGGAGATGAGGAAGGAACGGGCATCTCTGGGGTGGAGAGGATGGGAAATGAGGAAGGAACAGGCATCTCTGGGGTGGGAAAGATGGGAGATGAGGAAGGAACAGGCATCTCTGGAGTGGAGAGGATGGGGAAATGAGGAAGGAACAGGCATCTCTGGGGTGGGAAAGATGGGAGATGAGGAAGGAACAGGCATCTCTGGAGTGGAGAGGATGGGGAAATGAGGAAGGAACAGGCATCTCTGGGGTGGAGAGGATGGGAAATGAGGAAGGAACAGGCATCTGTGGGGTGGGAAAGATGGGAGATGAGGAAGGAACAGGCATCTGTGGGGTGGGAAAGATGGGAGATGAGGAAGGAACAGGCATCTCTGGAGTGGAGAGGATGGGGAAATGAGGAAGGAACAGGCATCTCTGGGTTGGGGAAGATGGGAAATAAGGAAGGAACAGGCATCTGTGGGGTGGGGAAGATGGGAAATAAGGAACAGGCATCTCTGGGGTGGGAAAGATGGGAAATGAGGAAGGAACAGGCATCTGTGGGGTGGGGAAGATGGGAAATAAGGAAGGAACAGGCATCTGTGGGGTGGGGAAGATGGGAAATAAGGAAGGAACATCTCTGGAACAGAGAGGATGGGGAAATGAAGAAGGAACAAGCTCGCCAAGCAGGGATGGTGCTCATGGCCAGGAGATGATGCTCCTGGGAATCCCGGGAGCATTTTTCCCTCCCTGCTCTGTGCACCTTGTCAAGGCAGCTCCTTTTTTCATTAGTGTCTGCTCGGATTAGGGCTGTGCTCACTTTGCAGCCCAGGCCCGGGCGCCAGCGCGGCTGCAAACGGCATCAGTGTCTCGCCAAGGAGGCCCTAATACTATTAAGAGGGAGGCATTAGAGGTGCTAAATGACCAGCCCCTCATCAGCCCTGGGATTTATGTCAATCATGTTCCCCAGGCAGGGTGGAGCAGGGCTCTTCATTCAGAAAAAATTGCCTAATTGGGAGGGTCTGGCTTCTCTCTGCCTGTCTTGTTGCTGGAGGGTCTGGAGCTCCCGGTTGCCTTCAAGGGAAGGGGGATAAATGGAGCTGAGGATGAGGAATAGGGAGGTGGGGAATGTGGCCATGGGTTGGGGTTCTGGCCATCTCCTAACTCCCTCCATCCTCCTTTCCCTTTCAGAGGTTGGAGCAGAGCAGGGCTGGTCCTGGGATTTCATCAGCCCAGGTTCTGCTGGGGAAAAAAAGATGCTGCTTTCCCATTTGCCCACCCTTTCCTGGGTACCCTGAAAGAGCTGGGCTGCCTCCCTGCCCTTGGCTGCAGCAAAACGACTTGGCAGTTGCCACGAGTCCATCAAACCCCCAGCCTTTCTTGGGGCAGGAAGCTGTACAAGCAGCCTGGCCACAGCCCTGTTCTCTTCCCTCCACATTGATCCCGTGGCCTTTGCTGGCCACAGCTCAGCTGTGGGACCATGTGCTCAGCCCCTGCATCGATCCCAGGGACCTGGGTCAGCCCACACCCCCTCTGCAGCATCCTTGGGTGCAAATTCCAGGGCTGGTGCCAACCTGTAGCTCATTTATCCTCCTGCCCACTCACCTGGCAGGATTTATCACCATGGTCGCTTTGGGGAAATCCTGTTGCTGCAGCTGCAAGAGGCACATGCAACAGTTTTCCCAACGTTGAAATGTCCTGGAGCAGGGCAGCCAGGGGGTGCAGGAGCTGGAGGGAAGCAGGAGGGTCTCCCACCTGGAGGCACCAACGTGGCCCTTCAGGAGAGGCTGATGCTCCAGGGAGAGCGTGTGTGGGAAAGCTGGTGTGAGGGAGCAGCTGAACCTGCTGGGCTGGGAAGGGCTGGTGGCCAAGGGTGAGGAAAAGGAATTTGCCTTCTGGAGAGAGAATTTTCTGCTGGTTTTAGTCCAGGATGTTCTTAGGGGATGGAGATCTCTGCAGTGCTGGTGGTCTGGCCAGGCTGTGGAGGGTCCTGGGAGCAGGGGGAAGGGTTCCCATGCCCTGCCCAAAATTCCCTCTCTGTTCTTTTCCAGTGCTGAACGTTTGACCAAGACTAAAATACCAGTTACAGCCCAGGAGAGCATTTCAGTTCTTTGGCTACTTCATGTTACTGCTACCCCTTCATTACAGGAACCCCATGAAGGGACCTGGTTGGACCTTCATGACAGCAAAGGGGGGTTGCATCCAGAACCCCAATTCATAGCATCATGGGATGGTTTGGGTTGGGAGGGACCTGAAAACTCATCCAGATCCAACCCCCTGCATGGGCAGGGACGCCTCCCACCAGCCCAGGTTGCT